GCCGGCATCATCAGTGAGCCTTGCCATTCTTCGCACCAAGATACGAACTCGTCAAAGAGACAAGTGAAGTTAATCTTCGGATTAGGTGCGTTCAATTAAGTCGCCCTAACAACAAGACCAAGTTGCGACAACGTACCAAAGGGGTCTGATTCAATGGAAATATTATAAAAGACATTGACTGGATTAGGTGGCAGTTCAGAAAGAAAATTGGTCTTGTAAGCGTAGCTCATCATGGCGAAAAGTGTGAAAGCGTTGCAGGTCCACTTCAATGCCCAGTTCAAATCGGCATCTGTTTTAAGCTCGGTACAGAGATTAAGACGTTTTGATATCTCATCCAGACCTAAAAATTAAAAATGGTTCGAAAAGAAAATAAGACATAACAGAAAAAGCACTGAAACTCAACAATTATGAAACAAGAGATTCCTCGAAACCCAACTTTTCTTCGCATAGTATAATTTTTCCCATTAACTATATGAATTATTATCAATAGCTCAATTTATTTTTCAATAATATAGGGATAATCATTATCAAGGTCAATGGAAATTATCGATGAGTTTGAGCAGAATAAAATGAGAAAGCATGATTCCTATATTCAAAGTATACAAAGAGATTTTACTCATGTTCAAACTTAATCCCATAAGACCTCAAGAGTATAATGCATAGATGGCACGTACCAAAAAGGGGGTCAGATTCGATGGAAAGATTACAAGAGACATTGACTCGATTAGGTGGCAGTTCAGTAAGAAAATTGGTCTTGTAAGGGTAGTTCATCATGGCGAAAAGTGTGAAAGCGTTGTGGGTCAACTTCAATGCCCAGTTCAAATCGGCATCTGTTTTAAGCTCAGTACAGAGATTAAGACGCTTTGATATCTCATCCAGACCTAAAAATTAAAAATGGTTCGAAAAGAAAAAAAATATATAACAGAAAAAGCACTGAAGCTTCTTGTCTGAATAACGAAGTAGCCAGACTCCATCATTCACCAATGCCTTCATATCCAAAATAATATTAGTAGCAAATAGGATCAGCTATACAGAAGTTACTTAGATGCGTGATTCTGAAGACTGATTACAAAATATTTTCAACTAGTAAAATCGAGATAGCAAAGAAAAGTAAATTAAATAATATTACTTGATTCGACCTAGTAAAGACCATAGCAAAGAACAGATGGCAGAAGCCTTGAATAAATTAGTCATCACATCTCGTAACAAGTGGAAATATAAGCCTATTATTATGTAACCTTATTCAAGTGTCAAATAAAGATTCCAACAAGTTTTTATCAAAAGCCTTGGAAAATCTTGACTTAAAAGATATCAAGTTAATTCCATATTCGCAGTAATTAAGATAATAAACTTGATTTCGATGGCAGTGAAAGAAGTATTCGTGGAATACATAGTAAATATTTTCCTTTGTATCAAAATAAATTTTAATTTTTAACATCTATTTCAGAGTTAGTTCCACCTCAATTTGGTAAAGTTTCATGCGAAAGAACAAAAATTTCTTGATTAAATAACAGAAAGCAACATCTAGAAAATTGAGTCTAATTGAAGATATGAAAACCAAGATGCTGTGGCCTCTGGTAGAGTCGCAGTCTCCTTTCGATTCATATAAGTGGA